CTGCACAGTATAGCTCATGGCTTCACTGAGTTACGCAAGCCCCTTCGCCACGACAAGGCAGTGATCCATGAAGGGGCACAACAAGGTAGTCCTCACTTACTGACAGCAATTAGGACCGGAACTCTGTTGTTAAGCAATGCGGCTATAAGTTGAAAAACCATGTTCTGGCAGTCCCGGTTGCTGTCATTAAGCAAGGACTCCAACTTCCTGCAGGCTAACATTGCAAATTATGATTGCGTGACCATAGGACGCTGTGACTTTGTAATTGCAAGCTGGGCGCCGACATCTAGATCACGATCACATGACTGTGGGGATGCTGCACTGGCTGTAAGTATGAGGTCCAGTCGTAACTACCACTTGTTCAGTGCCATCAAATGGTCATTAAACGAGGACCACCTGTATTTCTATATGGCTCATCATGTAAGTTAAAAGAATCTGCTTCTTGGAATTTGTCATCTTTCCTTATTTCCCTGAATGAAATGTTAAACCATTATACCAGACTTATTAATCAGAATTTCTGGTGTAATTAGCATATTATCTTTATTTCGAGAGAGGGAGTTCCAACCACACTAAACACCACAATTCCTGCAGTGACGCAGATTATCATTTTTGTAACACATCATTGAATCCTCTTTAAGAGGCTCCCTTGTCATTTAAGGCTCATTTTGTAGGGCTCAGAGGAAATTCAGTGGAGGCCTAAGTCTTTCACCAAGTTAGAGTAATTCTCTCCACACCAATGGCTGCTTGATATATTTTGTAATCAGAATACTTCATAGATCTCTTCACATTTGTTCAGATGTGAAATGCCTATTAAGAGATACTTTTGTGCTTTAATTAAAGATACTGTGTATCCTATTCAGATAACCAGGCAAAGATTTAATCCTTTTGCCTCCTTGAGGCAAAAAAGTGGCTAAATCCCCTCCCTTTTTAAAAAAATTTCTATTCCATCTGAACTGCATTGAGGCAATGGAGAGACTGAATCAGGAATTAGGCGAGACACAGGCCTGAGAAAACTCTCTTCTAGAACTGGTGTCACCCTGAAACAGGAAAGGGAATTCATTCAAAAGGAAATTTGCTCAAATAGCCAATAGTTGCTTGCTTGCATGAATTTGTTTTCTGACTTTGCATTTGATCTGAAGTCACAAGGCACCCAGAATCACACTGTCTTACCCACAGATCGACCAAGCTTTTGATCCTATTAAGTTGATACAGCTGTTGGTAGAACATTGTATTCAAGGTATTCTGACCTTGACTCTTCCTTGAGCTACTCTTAAATTGTCTAGTCAGGGCCAGTTGATCCAGAGCCTGCCTGTCCATCTGATTGGGAACCTACAGCCCAAACTTTTCTTTCAGTAGGAAAAAACAGGTTCCCAATCTCAGGGATAGCTTGCTGTACCTTCGGGAGAGACGTTCCATCAACAGGGGAATTTGGAAGAGGGGGAGCTTAAGAGTGCGTGTCTCTTTCACCCATCGATAATCCTTTTCAGATGATTGCCAGTTCACCTTTGGATCGATTATTAAACATTTCGGATCTAAACACCTTCTGACTGTGTTTTGGAAAGTTGCACTTCCCCTTTCCCTCAGCTTCTGTTCATAGTTGTCTACTGTTAGGGATGAATTCTTGTGAGATATCTTCTACGTAGAATTTGCAGAGAGAAATTGTGTAAGACTAGCAGCTGCTTCTACCACGCAGCTAAAGACCCCGAGCCAGCCCTGGGAAGCCACGTGTATCCTGGGTCCTGGGGATGTAGAATGAGCGGGGCTGAAATTTCAGACCTTTCGCATTTTGTTGCGGAGGGGTTTAAGAGACAAAATGGGTGGGTTCATCCTATAGAGGATGAAAGATGACCGTTTTTTAAAAAATCCTTTAAACCAGGCTGATTTTCTTCCTTTAATTTTTTTTTTCAAGTGGCAAACCAGTTACCTTAAGCTTCCAGGACTTCGGCCCCTTTCCCGGCAGAAGAAACATGTGAAAAGGGTGTTCAAAATTTCCTTCTCCACTGGCTTCCGTTTGTCCTTCTGTCTGTGTAATAAAATAGTGCTGTGTTTTCTCTGTATCAGTAGAGGGAGCTGTAACACTAAACCAAAATCTTGGCATATGCTGCCAGTGAAAAAAAGCTCCATTTTCCTTTTACCTCCCCCCCCCCTCCAAAAAGCTACAAAATAATAAAGGGAAATTAAATGTAAAAATAAAAGCAGAACTAAAACTCAGTCTATGTTGGGGGAGTAGCTTTTTCATGCCATAAAATGCCCAGCGCAGTCCTTTTGCTTACACAAGATGCAACTCCAGCTATAAACTGTTATGCTAATCCTCATTTTTTCATAGAATACCAGCAAAATCAAGGTATTGGTGGCGGCGGCGGCAGCAGCTTTCATACAGAGTGATTTTAATGGATTTTGCTGATCCCACAGTCCCACTTTTAATCTTTAATGCTTTTCTTCAGCCCTTTCATTCCTGGCGGCAGTTTAGGAAGAAAAGGGTACGGAAATTAGTTCCTTCCAGCTTTGTAACAATCCAGTCCTATTTGAATAACAACAGAGACTAGTTTCACTTTGGATTTATTCATCACTCTCTATATCATGGAAAAGTCCTCTCAGAAGTAAAGGTAGCTAACAAACTTAGCTGGAGCAAATGTTCACACTTATTTCATGCAGCCAAGTATGGGGAACAGGCTGAATTTCACCTACCAAGGAACTTGCGTGTTGGAAAGACCATATTGCCCAGAAGCAACATTTAATCTAGCTCATTTTGAGACTTAAGGTGATTCTTTTTTAAACTGCCCTCCTTGCTTCAGTACAGTTTTTACAGGCAGCTTCTAAGTTATAGCTCTTCATTTATACAGCGCATAAAATATTAACATGAGGGTTCTATTTTATTTATATCTACAGCAGGTGATGGTATTTTCATTTGTTTTCAAAAGCCCTTTCACACACACACAAACCGAGGGTTGTAATTCTTGGGTTGGGGATTCCTGGCTACGTCTGCACATCTGGTCTGCGGTCCAGCCTGGCCCCCTTTCATTCTCTTTCACACAGCGCCCAGGATTCGAGTGACCCACCAACTGCAAGGCAAGATAAGCCGCCAAGCAGAGTGACACCCCTGGAAATGATAAGGCCACGGAGGAAAGCCCAGGAGAGGTTCACAAATCCGTCGGCAATGCGTGTAGCTCCGGGTGCCCTCAATGCAGCAGATCCCTTCATGATCCAGCTGTGAGTCAAAGCTCATCCCGTCACCCTCTTCTAGCTGCTGAAAGGAAAAGGACAAGCACAGCCTTAAATATCGTCTTTTAAAAGACCTTTATCTTTAGGTCTCTTTCATTATTAAAAACAAATGCCACAAGGCAGCAGGTGACAGGGTTTCCAAGTCTCGGCACTCAGCACACATTAAGGCTTCAGATTATGTTGTGTTTTGGTTGGAAAGGGCAATAAAGGTCCCCAAATTAGGGGTCTTCAAAAGCCTGGTGGTGGGGCAGGTTTGGGATTTAGTGACCAGCCTGCTTTCCAGTCTATTCCTTTGGTATGTTTTTTTTTTAAGGGATTGTGAGTGGCCCATGATACATTTACCCGGGCCAAGCAGAAAGGGTTGACTATGATAATGCAAACACTATAACCCAGTTTATTTAACCTAACAACTAATCTAGGCGGAAGGGAGTATTTTATCTGGGGTTCTTTGGAGCTGAACAACTTCCCAATCAGCTTGGTGCAAATTGCTGACCAGGGTTTATCCCACATATGGGAAAGGGATAAAGTCCTGGAGCAATCCTGTAAAAACAAAAGGTGTTCCTGGGCACACTGCTGCTTCTTTACTTTTTGCTCCCACCCCATGACCCCCACTGCATTTGAAAAATGGGCAGAAAGGGATGAGAGTAGGTGAACCCTCTCCCCAACTCTGTCCGTGGGAGTGTCTGATCTGATCCTCCCCAGATACCTACCTACCTACCTACCTACCTACCTACCTACCTACCTACCTACCTACCTACCTACCTACCTACCTACCTACCTACCTACCTACCTACCTACCTACCTACCTACCTACCTACCTACCTACCTACCTACCTACCTACCTACCTACCTACCTACCTACCTACCTACCTACCTACCTACCTACCTACCTACCTACCTACCTACCTACCTACCTACCTACCTACCTACCTACCTACCTATTTCACCACAGGGGGAGAGCAGTGCAAGAAGCTTATCTAACAGGTGGTATTACTCTTGGCACAACCATCCTTCTATCCCTGGCAAGTGATCCAGGAAATGCCCTATTATTCATTGGAAATTAAGGCTCTCGCTTGTATCTTAATTTCTTAATAGCTGGTGGTGGCATTTACTGTAGTAAGCCTCAGCTTAGATCTTCTTTAAGATCTCCTGAGTTGCTTTAACTGCCATGGGGACAGGCGGGGATTCCTTGGCAGTTACAGGCTTGCAATGCAACTTTGATGGCTACAGAACTGGTTCAACCTCATTCCCAAATGTTTGGTCACATCAGGGACCAAGTATCACCATCAAAAGTCCGGCTCTACTAAAGTTCTTGTTTGCTGCATCTAATGCTTCAATACATTTTTAATTTCATTCTATTTTGGCTCAGCATCTACAGAAAAGGGGAAATGGGGGCTAAGTGACATCAGGTGACTTTACTGCATAAATGAAGTATATAATTTGGGCCCTTTCAGAAATGATGTCATGATGGAGGTGATATCATCAAGGCATGTACAGGATGCCTACACTCAGGAGCCATTGCTCTAAGACTATAGCATCATATTTCATAGAACCCCTTTTTCTTCTAATTTCAGATTTGGAGATCGTAACCAATAAATATTTCTACTTCATCCACAGACATCCACGGAAACCATTTAACAAGGCCCACGTGCCTTATTAAGACGACATACTGATCGGGAAACACATGGCCCTTGTTTTTACTCAATTAAGAAGTAATAAAAATATGTCTGTTCTATTTAAATAGAAAAGCAGAAGAATTTGGAAGGGGAAAAAACCCAGTAGGCTTTCAACATGCCGACTTTTTTTTTTTTTTTTTTTACCGATTAGGTATATTCAGTCATTGACACATTGCATCAGCCATTGTTACATTTTAGATTTAAATCCAGTGTTCTGAAAACTTCCTAAGATGTGAAACTTTTAAAAGCAGAGGTGCAAAAGTGTGGACAGACCCCACAGGGACCCTACCAGCATGTATTCTATGGCCCCGGTAGCTGTGAATAAACATCTTGAGATGTTTTTGCCTGCTTTTGTGATCAGAGGGGCTGAGGGGCAAAACCTTGCAGATGCATAAGGAGATGGCTTCACCCCTTAAAAGACCATTATTCCCATCCTCAAAGGGCCCCAGTCCTGCTCCCTTTCCCTTTGTGTGAAGATACCGCGCAAAGTCTGGTGCATCCCTCAGGCCAACTGAAGTTGTGGGTCCCTGCCTAGTAAATCTCAAATAAAAGTTGGAATTTTCAAATGGAGGTGAAATCAATTCAGAAAGATTTAAGAAATATGCAAAAAGGCTATTTTATATATGTTTACACATCCATGTGTTGCCTAGTGCAGTTAATGGATGGTATTATGTAAAAAAGGCACAAAAGTTTGCTTAATAATACATTAAAATACATTTATTTATTTCTTTTCTATCATATTTTCATTCTAGTGCTCACACCTACACAAACCACCCTCTCTTTTATCTCTGGAAAAACTCAGTCCTAAACAAATGCAGAAGCACAACAATATGTCCATTAAAAATGCGTTTCAGACTACACAATGGAGACAGCCATTGCAGACAATATAGTTTTGCATTTCCTCCCATTACTGTATCTGGACAGATGAAGTCCTATCATTAGCCAATGTGAAACAAATGTCCCCAGTTGGTGATAACTGGGGGCAACCATAGCAGCCCACCCTTTCTATTCACCCTAAACCTCCCACCCATCTCTTCCTAGTGGAGGAAACAACATGGCATATTCTCTACTATGTAGTCAGAATGTTCCAGATCTAATGGGAGACATCATCTTGTTCTCTAGAAGTGCATTACTAGGGAATTAGGCATGTATGGATGTAAGTGTGGTTGGGTGATGCTGCCATCTTTACTTCAGGCACCATGTTGTCTTGGGATGGACCTTCTTAGAGTGATGCCAGGGCAGGGGTGTGGTTGAATTTCACTCTTGCCTCATCTAGAAAATGGGTGGAGTAAACACATTTCAGCCGTTGAGGCAGCAATGAACAAAGGCCTGCCAAAGCTAAGAGAGAGTTGAAGAAGTGGAAGGCTGGGTAGATAGATGACTTATGACCAAGTCTATAAAGGTATGACACTGTTAACCAATACTCACGTGGTCAGGATTCTCTGGATTAAAGGTTGACCTGATGATTCACCCAGAAGGTTGGGTAGCATTAGATGAACGTTCTTGTTCATGAGCCCATTGATTAGAGTGGGGCCTGGTATTTACTTCTTCAGCAGCCGCTTCAAACTGATCCGGATCAATGTTTGGTTGTGTTTGGCGTGTCTTCCTAGTAATTCCCTTTTTCTTTCTTTGCCCAACTATATAGAAAGAAATTAGAATTCGTGCCTCATTTAACAGATGCTACTAAATGTATTTTAAAGGTCCAGACTGGATTTTAAACCTGCGTACTTGCCCAATCACAGCTTCTCACCTAACCTGAATCTGGGTTATGAGTGCACAGGGGCAGCCCTTAAACAGGGTTCCAAGGAATTGGAAGGCCAGTCAGATCTGACTTCCATACTCAAAGATGTGTTCTTGGGTAGTTGCTCACCTTTTCTCAAGCTGGCCAGATAATAAAGCCAAATAACACTTCCCAGATTCAGAACAGTCCTAACTCTAGCAGGATGTCATGCCATCCCAACAGCTGTCTTTGAGGGGAAATTATGGGGTATCTGATTCAAAGACTTTGTTCCTGTGATGGAGTTCCTGAAACATAATCCCACATTTTGCTATGTAGCTCTTATTATAAAGATGCCCGGTTGCAATAACTCCCCATCTAGTCAAATTTCCAGGCCATTCAGATTCAAATTATTTACACTTGTTACCGTCTGGTTGATGGGATTTTATTTCTCTGAATGTGGCTAAGTTTTGTTTTGCTGTTCAAAAAATACTCTATACCTTGACCGCAACAGTTTTACAATTATTAAGTTTTATTATGCTTTTTAATTGGTTGTCTCAGAAGTTGTCTTTTTCTTTTGAATTGGTCAGTCAACTTAATAAGGTAGATTACTATTACTAGAATGGCCAGCCCAAACAAATGCTCTTTCTTTATCTCCCCATAGCTCCAACTTCCAGGCAACTTAGAAGCCCCTTAGATGTTTAGGAATAGACTCATCATCTGATGACATGGTTTCCAGTTCATAAATGCTTGTGTCTGTTATCTTTCCCAAAAGAGCTAGCAATCAATTGATTAGATATGCTGTTTTTCTTCAGTGGCTGCAGACTCAGAGCCCATGTTCTCCCATGTCAAAGTCAATCATAGTGGGAGAGAATATCCACTGTACATAAAAAGGAGCCCCAATTCAAGGATCACAGACAGAGACCGTGGTCAACTGCCAGGGACTTTAAAAAATTGATGTCAGCCAGAGTCACTCATAATGGGCTAAGTGGACAAATGATGATTCAGTAAATAGATAGGCAGATATTAAAAATGTAGCCCTGTGAAGACCGTCAATCTTCCCTAATTTGACAGCTGCTCCATATATGTGTGTATTGATGCTATATAGATCATGGTCAGAGATGGTTTACAGTTAGGAGGTAACAAAATCTGAGATATTCCATCAAGGAAAAGTACCTTTTGGAGAGGATGGTCGAAGCCAGAGAATTTGCAGAGCATGACAGAGCTCTAAAATCTTAGGACACAGGAAACTGTAATTCTTTATTGTCTGGTTTGCAGCCACTCAGACAAGAGAGCTTTCACCAAATTTAGCTGGTAGGATTTCATCTTTCTGTAGGGGGAAAATCATAAATGTTCAGTTGGCTCATTTGGAGATGTGGGCATCCCAGAATAGATAAAGATCAGTTAGCTAGAAAAAAAACCCGGGATCTCCCTGATCTTTACACTGTTATTTTGCATCTTACATGATTTTTACTAGGTCCCATCTCAGTTGCATTTGAGCTTTGCTAGGTAATAATTTTAATAAGTGAAACAAAGGTGACTAAAATGGCTCCAAAAATAAAACAAATAAATAGCTTGAAGTCAAACATTAAAAAGAGGTAGAAACTGAGACTGTTCTAATTAACTGTTTATCCCACTATGATGGGCAATATGGCCCTCTTTTCCAGTTGTGTGGCGATAATACAGTGGTACCTCTACTTACGAACGCCCCTACTTACGAAATTTTCGAGATACGATCAGCTCCGGCCCCAAAAATTTAC